GCAATTATTTAACAAACACTTCTGCAACATATCCAGAAAATAGCTGGCATGTCATAGATGAGGCAGGATGAAGATAATGCCTTTCAGACAGACGATGGGTTGGTGTCTCTGTGACAGTAAATGCCAGAAGTAATTTCTTTCATGCACTAGATTTCAACTCCGTGTAGGATCTTCACCTGACAGGCTACCAAGTCTTTGCAAAGGATTTTTATTCCCTAATTCCCCTCTCTCTTCCCCCCCCCGCAACACATAATGTTTGACAATGTCTTTCTCTGTGAATGCAGTCCCGTCATTTGTTTCCCTCATCTCCTTCACAAATAAACAGGGTATAAATAAAATATACTTCAGCACATGCCATCATTTTTAGTTGCTTTTTATTTCTTCCTAAGCAACCACAAATACTTTGCAACAATAGAAGCCTGATTTCTCTTAAAAGTCCTTAAATTTTGGCTCACAGCAAATGACATTTATTTACAAGATTTATGGCATGTTGTCGAATCTGCTTTTTGTAACACTGTAAACACTGCCTTGAATTCCTCTCAGAACCCACACTTCAAATAAATCACTTTTGGTAGCTAAAATGGTTGCTTGTGGCAGGTATAGTAGCTGAAAGAAGTAGTTCTACACACTGTGAAAATCTATGCTAAGATTATTTATCAGTCACCTGGTGATTCTCCGAGGCAACGTTTGACTGAAGCCAGGTAGGCAGCAGATCTGTGCCACTACCTACCAGGTCTGGAGGGGTCTTTTTCAGGCTTAGGAAACACTGCAGGATGAGCACAGATGCTGTGTTCTCCTAAGTCTGACTTAGTGGGAGAGTGGTTAGGCGAACAGTACAACAGCCAAGATTTCCAGTAGCTCTCTGCCTGCCTAACTTACACGTGAGGAGCCTGCTTATCACTATCATGTGCTCAGAGTTAGAGAATTAGAAAAGATGCCTTAAGGATCCCTTCCTTTTGTGGCACGAACATTACCACTGAATTTCACAGCTCTGGATAAAATCTTAATGTACGAACGTGTTGATTTAAATGATGTATGCAAAACCCAATCCTAACTATAGACTAATAGTAACAACAAAAGCCATTCGTTGTATATTTCAATGTTATTTTTTTACAGTTGCTCCCTTTTTCCCAGTCACACGGTGCTTGTTTTACCAACCTTTTCTGTTACTCCTAACTTGCTTTCTACCTGTTCCCAGGAGCCTTTCCGTTCATCTATATCCATACAGGATATCTAAAATCAGAAAGTTTTCTTTTTCAGTATTTGGTTTCATTTCTGCATTGATTTTCTTCTCTGCTAAGAGTGCTTTCAGAACCTTTCAGTACAGCAGTCGACATTTGAACTTTTGTTGTTGCCTTTGACATCTCTGTTTACATACGCGTACAAAACAAACCAGACACACTCTAAGTTAACAGCATAGAAATTTTGGAATCAGTATTTTTCTACACATTTGCGTGGTTGCTCTTTCGAGTATTTAAAAGGAATTGTTTGCAAAGTCAGAGTTGGGAGACAATGAAGCTTTTTACCTAATGCACACTTAAAAGTAGCGTAGGAAAATGTAAGACAAATACATTTGTCAATAAAGACAAATTTCACTTAGCATTTGTAATTTCAGATTTCACATAAATGGTTGTACACATGCTCTATTTGTTTACCTTAAATAGATTTAAAAGGTGAGTAATGAAATCACTACTAGTATATTAACGTTTTTAGGTGATTTAAAATTCTGTGAGTTATATGCTTTTATATTTTGGTAGGATTACCTAAGTATCAACATAAAACGCTGATATCTTTCTAGTCTGTACAGTATTAAAAAAAAGACAATTTTGATCACCAACCAAATTAAAACATTACTAAATAGAAGCTGAGGAAGTATAGGAATTCAAGTTTAAATACTAGCTTAATTATTTAGGTAAATTCTTTGGGGGCAGCAACTTGTCACTTTATTTGGTATATACAGTTATCTGGCATAGTAGGGCCTCAATTTCTAATTGCGACTTCTAGGTAACTAACATTATTAGTAAATAATAATTAGACAGGTATGGTACTATTACTCCCATTTTTACTAGGGAAATGCAATATCTTAATATATTTCATGGTGCATCTTCTGGAACAAAAGGCACAGTACTGATGCTATATTTTCTAATAGAAATTTTTAAGATTCTTCTCCTAAGTTAGGAATCAAGTCATTTGGTGACAAATGTGGACACAATATAGAACCTACATTTCAAACACTGTCTCTTTCATCGTCTGTGTTTAAATTACAGTCTCAGTGATGCACACTTATGATGGCAGAAATCACAAGCAGAACGTAGAAATATTTCTCATGCTATACAGAATCCATAAGGAATAATTTACAAGATTAAAGTTCTCTGACTTTCATGTAGAGGTTTCAGCTGTCTAGTCCATTCCAACTTTTAGATAAATCACACAAAAGAACTTCTTCCCTCTACAACATACACATATTTTTAATATTCTTAGGACAGATAAATCAATGCATCTCAAAACTGGCTTGCTTAGTAGGTCACGATGAAATAGGGTAAGTTTTAAAAAAACTTGGTTAGAAATACACAGCACAGTAAATATTCCATCCTCTGGACTATCTATAATTAAAAGTCAGGTAAGGTAGCTTTATGGAAGTGGCTAACAATTCATTCATAGTCAAGAAAAGGTCAGAAAACTGACCTCCCTGGCAAAACCTAAGGGCACTTGGTAATGAATGAGACAATCAGAAGGGTGGAAAGCCAGGCTTAGTATAAGCACTGTCTTACTGTGCTTTATTGTTACTATGCTACATGAAGGAAATCCTGACCTCAGTAAAGTCTGACAGTTTTGGTACAGTCCAGATTCCAACAGATCCGTAAAAAGAAATGCTACTAAACAGAATCGGTTAGAATCACTAAGAGTGAAACAAAAATTAGATCTTCTTTCCTGACCAAAGGATTCTCTTTTCCACCTTCAGTTCCAATTCTAACTACATAGCATAGCTCCATGTTAATAAACTTGACAAAATATTTTGTAGGGAGTTAGAAACAGTATACAAAACAGTGGGAAATAACTTCTGGTTGCTTACAAATTCTGAGTCATAAGCGTATGAGATATGAAATGAGTACTGCATGAGAAACATTTCACATACACCATACACTCTTTAGAATAAAATACAGCAGAGACCACGTAGGCAGATTAAACATAATATTCATCTTCAAGTGTTAATACTAACACTAAACCACCCCTCTCCCCAAACAAACAAAAACAAAGTTCCAAAATCTTGGCTACAATGGTGCTGCCGTACCAAAAAAACCAAAGCCAAACCAAAACCAACCAACAAACAAACAAAAAAACCCAAACATGCACTGGAGGTTTTTTTCAGATTACATGTCATGTGATTAGGCACACCCTTTCAGCAGAATGTGAGCACCTGCTATGAATTACGCAAGCTCATGCACACAACCAATACACTAAATTACAGCAGATACCACAACACCATGCACACAACAATGGCTAACCAGAGAATCCTACCACAAAGTCTGCAGATGCTCTTCCCTACCCCGTGAGCCACCGCTAGCTCTGGAGCTGTTGCTGTGGAGCCTGGTTACCCATTTTCATGACATGGGCGGTGTCCTTTGGAGAATCTTGCTCCTGTGGCTGTAAGTATTCCTATTTTTATAGTACTTTGATCAGGTCTGTTATCAAATGTAAAGCAGAGTTTGGCAGGAAATTCGGAGATGCAGTAATTTGTAATAGTGGAATGTCATTATCATATATTCCAGTCACAGTGTTCTTATTATAATAATAATAATAATAATTCTGCCAACATCACAGTCGTAAACAAGAAAAGCAATTGTCTTTGTGAATTCTCCTGAAACTCAGGCCCTGAATGATTCCTACCAGGCTATGGTGCTCCACAGGGAGAGAGGAACAGAAGCCCTTAGGAGATATCCTGCGGTCCTCGGCTGTCACCTAGGCCTGACGCAGACTGTTTGTACTGCTACTGGACAATACAACCGTAACGAACCCAGAAGAAGTAAGTGTAGCATACAATTTCTGATACCTAATTTAGGTATACTAGAAGGTAGCTCTAACTTGCAGATCTTAATTTCCTTTAAAAATAAAAAAATTTTTATTCAGTACCTTTTGTGATGGCTCCAAATGCTTTAAACCTACCAAGATTACTTTAAATTACATTGGAATATAACAGCATATTATAAACTAAGATAGTAAATGAAAAATTACGTTAAAGCAAACGGAAAGGCAAAGAAAAATTTGGGTGGACAAAGCTGTTGCCAATTAAAACTTGATATATTCTTGAAAACACATTTAGGTTACCTAAATATTGCATTTCATTTGAAAAGCTTTACGTTTATTACTAAATTCACTAAAATCCTGCTGA